ATACATAGATGATTTTTTCAGATATGACGGAGAAACTTTTGTAAAAGAAGTAGATGTGAACTATATTATGTGGGAACAGCACGGACGAGCAGGCTACAAGTACAGTGCAACAATGAAAGAGGTGTGTCACTGGGGCAAGCGAGTAGCTGTAGGCAACTTAAGTGTCTGCTTTTAGATCTGAAGTGTTAGCGTTGGTAGTTATAATGTAGGTGAGATACTTTTATATCTATATATTACAATAAGATGGTTTTACAGCTTTGGAATCCTGGAAAGAAAGAGCAAAGCGAAGCTACTAGTACGCCGACGTGATCCCACCGTAAATTTATTTGCTTTTTTTTAATCTTGGATTCCAGTGCTCTAAAACTACCTGATTCTAAAATTTATTTCTTATAAAAAGCCACTTATACTTCGGCCAGGCTTTGAAAAACGTACAACCAGGGAAAAGTGTGGGAAGACGCGTAACCGGACGAAAGATCGGCAAAACATGTAACCGATGGCAAGCGCGGGAAATCATGAAGCAGAGAGCACGGGAAACCGTGTAACGGACGAAAAACGCGAGAATAGTCGGGTAGGGCAATACTTATTTATATTTGATTGGCCAAACACAACACATCTCCCTGATTGATTTGTTTTGGAAGTTTTTTAATGATCACGGAGCCGAAGTGCCGTTTTTGTTTAAGTTTACATCACTATAATGAAAATAAGTGTTTTGTTGTTGAAAGACTTGAAAGTCAGTGAAGGCTTACGAAAGCGCTATTTTCATTTCTACGCATCAGGCTGGGTGTATTAGTGAGGCGCAGAGTTGGGAAAAGATGATACGCGGGTCTACTCAGGAAGAAACCATGGAATCAGCGTGGTCTAAAGAGGTATGACTACTATGCAAGTTTCGACTGGTGCCAAGCCGAGAAGTGTTATTTAAAGAAAATAACGCAATGAGCGAAAAAACCTCAACTCAGTTATTCTGGTTCTTACTTGATTAATGTGCACCGTTCAAAAGAAAGGTATGTACAGGAGCATAACATTCATACATGGTGCAGCTGGTTGCCCTTAATAACATGGCCCTTGAAACCTTAGAGTGTGACCAGCATTCAAATAAAAAGCTGCAAATGAGATTGTAACGTTGGGCCACGTGGCACTTGTAAAAGTAGTAAGTAAGCAAAGAGTTAAGGTAGTAACACTGGAATTGTACGGAATCCTTAGAAAAGAAACGTGAAATTCTTTGTCCCTGGTGGGATTTTCACCGATTGAGTTACAAACCAGACGGGAGTTGGTCATGGGTAATTTATACAGCTTGTAAACGTTCCAATTATAATAGAACCAATCTTCTTCTCCACTTAATTCAACAGAATTACCAGAGCTGTTTTCAACAGAATTCTCCCTTGTCTGTAGCTAATCTTGATCAGCCATATGAAATCCTTAACAGCTCTGAAGCCTCCTCGCATATTGTGTGGAGTGATGTCGGCACGTTTGTCTTCACGCTGAAAGTTATCGATCCTGACTTCAGGTATTAACAAGAAATAAGTAAACATGATCAAAGATGATTGTGGCACCCAAAATCGTTCCATGGCCCATATCGTATTTGTACCACAGTTGTATTGTATTCGCGTCTCTATGAACAGCTTCAGGCTCTTCAAACTCAAGATATAGCTTCTGCTGACTTAATAAATGTAGATGTAGATATAACAAAACAAGAGCGTGATTCCAGCCTACCAGCGGTATTTCTTTTCCAAAACTTCAAGAATCGTTTTGAGTTTTGAACCGGCGGTGCTCGCAAGAAATTCTACAAAGAACCTCTAATAAGTACCAAGGAGCCAAGATCCTGTATTGTGCCGGGGCGTGGCTTGACATTTTTTTTACCCCTAAGAGGTACCATTTCTAAAACAACACCTTATCTCTAGTTCAAACCGGGCCCAGAATCAACCACGTTAAATCTAGCCTGTGATTGACGTCTACAGCCAGGTGTCTTAATCTTTGTGTGTCTGTCATTTTTTCCATCACAGCTTCTGTAACCTGACGATGGAGTTTGGTGTTCAAGTGTACGGCGCAGGGAGCGCCATGGAAGAGATTCCTACTTTTGTTGTCCTTGGTTCTTCTTGTCTTGCCACCGTAATCCTGCTTTTTTCCGGTTACTACACGGCTGTGCTTTGTTCAAACTAACCATGTGCTTCACTTTGTAACTTGTTTTAAAATGAGCTTTATTTCAAAAACTCTTTAAGAGCCAGAGGACTTTCTTGTTGAAAAACGTTTCAAACGCCGTATTAAACACGCACCCCCGGAGGACAACTCTTGACGGAGTTGAACTCAATACTCTTGAAAGCAGATTTAAAAGAATCGTTGCCTGGGCCCTGCGGTTATCTTTGTTGCTATTAAAATTGTAGCATTTGATAACCTGTTTGCTGTTGTGATTTTATTATCTTGAAGCCTTAGTTGTTTAAAGGGTTAATAACGCTATCCACTGGGAGAATCACTACCCAGAACAGGGGTGGCTACAGGACAGGGTTCCAAATTCATTTAAGCTGTCTTACGGTAACTTCTCACAATTTAAATTCCAAGCCCTTGAGCCGAAGGAAATTGCGGTTGCGCCGTCTAACACTTCGACACGTTAATAAAGTTCTTATCTTATCTTTTCTTGCCGTAATATCTTCAACCTCTCGTCACGGTTTCACATCAATAGAAACCGTCAATTGGAGTACATTTGCGCATTGCATAGTGTATCATAACAGAACGCTTCTCTTTTGTACGGTGATAACCATTATGTAGATGACAACAGTGTCGAAATACAAGCTCACACGGTACTCAAACTCAGATGCCTAGTCTACTGTCTTAATGTCTGTAATGTATGCGCTTCGGTTCCCACCGTCAATAATGATGCGCGCCTCGTTTTGGCGCGTGTTTACGGGACCGCCATTTTTTGAATGTTGTAGTTTTGAGATATGCTACAGAATAGTAAAGAATAAGTCATATTAAATTGAAAGAATACTTTATATATCCCGTGATATCAAGTCACTGTAGGCCGGCTGGATCAGTGGCGGACCTAACCGTACCGACCGTGCCGTTTTTGGAACAGCTCTGGAAGGATATAAGGCTTGCTTGGCACCGGAATTGGTTCAATAATTAGATCTTTTGTCAGGTCAGAATTCGGACCGGATCAGACTGTAGGACCAAATAGCCGGCAATGTGGAGTATGTTAGCAAGTCCCATATGCACGAGGGCCAGGTGTTTTCAACTAGATCCTTCAAGAGCGGGTCCTACGTCCGAGAACGGCCCAGTCTAATTATGACCTGGCACTCTTGACTCTTGAGTCGCCTTCAGCTCGATGGTAGCACCCGTAACCTGCGTTGCAGGCGTAAACGCCAAACGGGTAGGGAGACATAAAAACCGGACTGAAGAAACTTAGTAAGGAACCAGTCTCCCTCCTTCCATCCGCGCTTTTCATCCCTGACCCTCCTCCGTTTAACGCCTGCTACGGAGGCTACTACAGAACCTGTGACCGATGCACAGAAGGGATCCATCATATGGGTAATCACAGGGGTGGTTTGGGGGAGGGGCTCGACTTCTGTTGAGAGAGCTCGGAAATTTTTTATTCCAAGTGGTTTTCGGTGTTATTCAGCTATTAACTCTTTTCCAACTCTCCACCAAAGTTACTGAATTTTTACACACAAATGCTGCAGAATGACACATTTCCTTTTGTGCAATGCCTGATTTTGAGAAGAAGTTTAGTTGCAATTCTGTCCCCGCAACAAAAAGAATGAAAGCCAGCCGGTTTGAATTCGTAGGTCATAAAGCAGGGACAAAACGACCTCAATTTTTCATGTCGCCTCGTGTGCACTACTCTTGCAAACTGTCCTCGCTACAACATACAAATGAACCAAGCAGCACCAGCTTGCAGCTAGCTTGCGTATTGCCCCTGCAACATGCTTGTCCTCGCTTCACGTCTCGTAACGTGTCCCTTAGTGTGTACCGACCGGAATATTTAGGTGACTTGTCTGGATTTTGGATCTGAACGCCTGATAGTTCACTGTCAAATTAAAGGTGCTGTTGGTTAAGCTATTGCCTAGTTCCTGTACGGCTTTATCCCAGGCCTTCACGGTCAATTGATTTTCAGTGCGATTGACCGCGGCGAAATATTGAGGCCTAGGAACTAGGCAAGGTAAGCTTATAACAGTTGCACATTCAGAGCGGAAAAAAATAAAAAGCGTGCGCCAGTCTTGGACGCCAGGCTCCAAGTTTGACAAAGTGGCGGAAATTTCGTCGATCGTGCAAACCAAAAACAATTACGAAATTTATATGCTTTTCCAATTTTCTCGGTAAACTGCAACATTTTCACGTCACTAAAGGAAAGCTGGTGTATTATTTTCGTGGGAATCAATTTTTTTTCGGACAAAATTAACCTAAAGAAGTTTTCCGAACCCTTTATTTTCCCGCGGTATACAAGAATGACACATTTTTTTTCCACAAATTCTCTTTGCATAATGCATTCACATAAGCACACCACTGAATAGATAAGCAAGAGAACCTCTGAGCAGTCAGGGGACCTTGTTTTCTTAACAGTGAAATGCCGAAAAAAAATTCATGCTTGGCAACCGAGCGACATCCCCGCGTGCCGCGCAGAAAGCTGTGCAGTACTTTTTCCGCTCTGAATACTGAACCCGTTTCAAGTACTGAAGCCGAGTACTATAGGAGAATCTTTGTTTACAATATTTGCCTCATTACCATAAGCGATACAGTTTCTGATGGAGCTACAAAGAGAT